CCACATTCTCCGTGAGTGGCCTAGAATCTGAAGGTCTTTCAAAGCAGACTCTTCTCGCTCTGGAGGAATTTACTGCTAATCTGGGATGAATGGGTCAGGAATCTCCTTGAGGCAATGGTTGATGTCCACCTCAAGGAAGACAAAGAGGGTGTGTCACAGGAGACATCAGATGAGGAGAGCTGTGTTCTCTATAAAAAATTTTTGGCATGCGGGGCAGTCCCATTATGACTCTTTCCCTAGACACCTGAAATGCAGTTACGTATTTTGCTTCCACAGACGCTGTACTACGTATTGAAGCTAAGAAGCACAACTGCTCCAGCAGACTTGGAAGATGGAGGGAAAAAAAGGGAACACTCAGGAAAAGCAGCATGGGCTGTAGAGAACACAGCACGTGCACAGAATCTGCAGTGACATCCAGTTCAGTCTGTCCTTCCAACATCACTCCATCGCTTCCTCGAGGCAAAAATAAGAGAACTGTCTCCCCAAAATGGGAGGAAAACACGCATTTTAACTCAGAAGTGACAGAGTGTGGCTCAAGGAGAACCCATGGGCTTGTTTCAATGTATTCCAAAGGTCAGCGCTGGTGGACAGGGCCCAGTTTGCTTCCCAAAGTGATTCAGTTGTCACCAAAACTCCTCAGAACATTTTCATCTGGAGGCAAAGCTATCGCACTGACCCTCCCTGCATCCCCCTTGGGAGTCTAGTATGGAACCAGCACCTCTACTGCCTGGAAAACACAAGATTAAGGGGCTCGTGGTTAGAGGGCTTATTTCAGTATCCGAAATAGAGACTTTTTTCTTTTAAAGCCAACGGCTCCTTATAATGCCGGCAGGCTTTGGGAAATTCCAGCAGGTGACTAACATAAAAAGATTCTGCTATAAATGATTTTAGCCACTGAGGATCTGACTTCTGGATTAATAATTCAATTCTTTTTAAGAAATGAGAGGGAAGCAACAGAAAAGGTTATCATAAATATCATCAAATGCATTTTTCTAAAATTATTCTATTACATTTTTAGAGGGTATAATTATGAATGTTTTTATGAGCGATTTACCGGAAAATTAAAGTCTCTTAGTTTAAAAAATAATTATTCCATCCCTCTGGCAAAGGATTTTATCCCAGCCAGCATCTCTTTTAAGCTATGGGGCATCATTTGTTCACTGTGGAGAGCTGTGCCCATGTAAGAAAAGTTGATCTGAGAATCAATCTCTAGAAAGGGTACTAAATTGCCAGAAAGTGAATCAGCTAAGACTGAAGGGGGGGAGCGGAGGCAAAACACTTTCAAAGTCAAAGACTTGTGTGGTTCTAGAATTCCTCAGGGCTACAAGTAAACTACAGGCCTTGTTAACTGATTTTAAATCAATTTAAACTGAGCTTCCAGGGGGTTCGATCTCAACCCAACTGAGCTTTTCAGCGTTAATCCCATCTTTTGGTTTCGATTTTTCCCTTAGGTTGGCCTGCCCTAAAAGCATTCAACCTTCAGCACTGGCGTTCCAAACCAGCTGTGTGGCACACAGCCCTGTGAGGATAACTTCAGTGAAGTAAAATATGTAAGCTTCTGGCATGCATATAATAACGAGATTCTGGAAAAGGGTTCTTAACAACAGTTATGTCACAATGCTCATGGCTCCCTGAAGTCCCTGAAAGCCTTGTTAAATTAAAGATTTGCTGTGGTTTTTTTCTGCTTCATTCTTACTTCCCATGTTGCCTCTTGCCTTTCTTTTTTTTTTCCCCTTTCATTGTGTTGTAAAGATGGAACTGAATGACACCAGCCACCATTAATGCCACCTAGAAAACAGAACAGTTCTTTTTTTAAACTGCAACCATTCCCTGCCCAGTTTTTAGGAGAGAGAGGGGTTGTCTTTCAGATTATAAAGTCACACATCAGACCTTGGAAGCTCAGGCACAAACCATACACAGTCAATTCACACGTGGATTCTCAGAAGTTTGGAATTTAGCAACAGCTTTACATCTACCTAGGTAACGTCTCATGAGGTCACCTCAATGTCATGAGAATCCAGACCACAATCCCTGTGGCCTTAAAACAGTGTCTGGCTGGATGCTAATCCTGCAACCTCTCAGGAAAGCATCTCCCAAATCAGAAAGGTTCCCACTTCACCCAATGCCAAGAACTCCACTCAACCTTCCTTGAGATTGAAAATGCTCATTATAAGGTGATGATGTTTACTTTTCCTTTGAGTTGTGTGTCTTTATGTTTTAAGTATTAAAAAGGTGTAATCACTTAGGGTGTAGATTAATTTCTTTCCGATATTGTAATTTATGCAACATTAATACAGGATGCCAGCTCCAATTTTCTTGCTGCTTACGCTCTGGGAGCCGACTTGCATATTCTGCCAACTCCATTACATCATCTGAAAACCCAAACATTTCCCATTTTCAAATCACTCTCTCATCTACCAAGCATACTTACACATCCTCTCTTTTTCTCCCTAGCTCACACACGTAGATTGGTACCCATGAGGAGCAGACGCTACATCTGAGGTTAAAGCTTGCAAATGCACATAATTTCTGGAAGCTGTTACTACTGCTGTGTTAGCTAAAGGATGCCTCCATCTCTGACCTTCCTTTTTCCATTCAGACTGTTATATAACCTAGTGCCTGCGTGCAGGATGTGAGTTGAGTGTTTGGGCCTTACCTCCTCACCCTCTCATGAAATCTTCTGAGGGATAGACAAGGGGTTGGTTCAGAGAAGAGTGGGGGGTAGCCCTCTAGGGGACAAGGGGATATGGGTCAGCAGGTCAGCTGTTCAAGATGCAGGCCTCCTCATGTTGTCCCTCTCTCCTTTTTCCTGAGCTAGGGGCTGGTGGTACTGAATGCCAGTTATATAATTTGCAAGAACAGCAAGTTACGGATTTGCTAGTCGGTTCTGCAGCCTGCCACCCTGATCTCTTGCAGGAACACCTTCTGGCAAGAATGACACCTGAAGATGCTAATAACAAACTGGGGGGGGGGGGGGGGGGGGCGGGGGCAGGTTAAGACACAGAGGAGTGGCAGCTCAAACCAGAAATTATTGTGGCTTCCTAAATAATATATCCTCCTTTCCGGGGGAGGGGGGGGGAAGCCTCAGAAACACATGAAGGGGATTTTCTCCAGTGTTTCTGATTAACCCTGTTACATAACCCGCTCGCATTCCAAATCCACCGTCTCAGGGTCTAAATATACTCTTTGCAGCCAAGAGCTCTCCACACACGAACTCACTGAGCCAGCGTCAGGTCCGGGCCCCTGGGCCCCCAGGCCCCCAGCCCTGATCCCGCTCCCTTCAGTCCCGGCCCTCGCTGCCCCCACCCCTCCCGCTCAAAGCGCGGTTCGGTGCGTTCACTCTTTCGAAATCGCCTTTAATTAAATGTTTTTCGCGTGTGTCATCCTGATGGCTTTTAACTGTACTCAAATTCCGTGAATGGGAAAGCGCCGGGACAGGGGGTGTGGCTAAGGTGGGGGTTGGAGGGGGGAGAATACTGTAAAACAGCCAGCACATGATCAGCCATATTCCAACCTCCAACTCTAACATCGAAAGGAAGGGAGCGGCTCCCGGGGTCCCCAGTCGCCTCTCCCCAGCCCTCCCCAGTCGCCGCCAGAAGCCGAGTGGCAAGAGAAGGGGGCACGCTGGGCCAGTGCTCAGGCCAGGACTGGAGATCCTCTCTGTCCCCAGCCCTGGGCTGCTCGCGCGAGCCCGCTTCCTCCGGAGTGACAGGCGTGATTTATACATTATTTACAAAAGTAATTAAAGCAATAGCTTCCTCCCATTCTTTGCAAACTCCAGGCGCATTCAAATAAATAATTATCCCAACCCCAAGAAAAACCCCACATCATGTTCCGACACCTTTAAGAAAGAGGGAGTGAGTGAGCTTTCCCGAACACTCTACTTTAATTGGGAAAAAGCAAGGAGGGGACAATGGAGTCCCCCCCACCACACACACACACACACACACACACACACACACACTCACACACACTCACACACACCCAGAATGAAGTGTAAAAATCGCCCGGGGCGGTGGGGAACATCGCTGGCACTATTCAACCAGCACTCAACTTGCACTGACCATTCCCAGGTTCTTGCCGAAACCCTTGAAACCTCACCGAGGGAAGGATTCCCAGGGCAGAAATAAGTTTTGGTGCCTTTCAAGCTTTCTTTTAGTGCTTGTTTGCCTTTGCAGACGCTCGCTACGAAGGCGCGTGGAGCGCCCCACAGGACCGCCGCCCCCCGCGCGCTGGCGCGCACACGCCTCTCCGCCAGCCCCGGCGCGGGGCTTCGAACCTCGCGTCTGCAAACTTGCGCATCTGCCCTCGCCGCGCCCGCCAGACAACTTAGCGAAATCCTCGCGCACCCGCAGCCCACTCCCTCCAGCCCCCTTCCAAATCCCCAGCCCACCGCCGTGCTCGAGAGGAGGGTCTCACGTCGTCCCTAGATCCAGGGGCGCCCCCTCTCCACCCCCGGGGCTTCCCTGGTCGCTCACTTCTCCCGCCCCCTTTAGCTCTGTGGGGGATCGAAAACAACGCGTTTCGGGCCGCCGGGGCCGAAACTGTCAAGAGGAGAAAAGGTAAAAGCGGAGGAAGGTGGCCATAAACAGATTTTTTTTTTCCTTCTTAAAAGGACACTGCCGCTTTAAAAGTTTCTTTCCCGGGCCCCCACTCTCCGGTTCTCCGTATTTTGGGGGAGCGTATTTCATTTCGGCAACGCAGCTTTCCTCCTCTGTTTGCAGAAAAATCAAAGCCAGGGGGTGAGCCCGCCGGCTGTCAAGCCTCCTGCCGCCTCCCCCGCCCCCCTCTTCTCCAGCAAACCGAGAACGTGCAGCAAAAGTTTGCAACATTTCTGGGGGGCCGTAGGGGGAGGGGGGAGGGGTGCTCCGAGCTCGGGGTGCCGCTGCAGGCTCGCCGCGGCCCCGGACCCCGCGCCCCGGGCGCCAGCTCCCGGCCGCCCCCCGCTCCGCACCCCAGCTCCCGCCGCCCCCTCCTCAGCCCCTCTCGCAGCCTCCTACCTCTGCTGGTGCTGGAATAGCTCTGTCTGCGCACCGGGGCGGGCGGCTCGCTCTTGCGGGCGGATTCCTGGTTCAGCGGGGTCTCCCTGGAGCCGGCGGCCGCGTCCGCGCCGCTGCTGCCCGGCTCGCTGGCGGCGGGGTCGGGGGCTGCTGGAGCTGACTCCATGTTTTTTCCCAATGTAGAGATCGCTGGAGATGGCGAGCTCCGAGACTCCCTCTATCTTCTGTTTTCAGAGCAACTCTATGGTACCAAAAAAAAAAAAAAAAAAAAAAAAAAAAGGGCGAAGGAGACCGGGGAGAGCAGGAGGGAGAGAGCAGGCGGCGGCGGGCGGGCGAGGGAGAGCGCGAGGGAGCGCGCGGAGTGTGTCTGGGTGGACGCGTGTGTGCGCCGGAGAGGGGATGGGAGGCGGGTCTGGCCACAGGCAGCGCTAGCGAGAGCCTCTCCAGCCGGCCCCCACACCCACATTCCCCACCCTCCAGACCCCAGACCGCGAGCCACGGACTGGCTGCCAATTTTGGGAGGTGGGGAAAAGAGGAGAGGAGGAGGGAGAACCTCTCGTGCCCCAACCTTCCCCTCTCCCCAGTCCAGGGACAGAAATTAGGATTGGGGAGATGATTCTGTGCCTACTTCTGAGAGTCTCTCGGGAGCAGAGCTCGTCCCCATCCGCATCAGCCTGGGAAGAGACAGATCCGATTATCCACGTTGGGGGACCGAGGGTAGCTTCCTGCTGTCCAGCCCAGCCCAGACCAGGACTGAGAAACTTAAAAGGAATTAGACGTGGACTTGACACCCCAAGGAATGCGAAGGACGGGAGGACCAGGCACTTCTGAGTTTGGGATGCGACGTCCAGTGGGTTTCCAATCTCAATTTGACACATTTGTGTCTAAAGCAGATTTTGTGAATTTAGAATCTCCTTGGACAGCCAGCTTCGGATGTGATTGAAAGAGGTCCTTTCCCGCTCCTTTGCTATTTGCTCCGCGAAGGATCCAGAAACACTTGGCAGGGCAATTTCTACTGAAGAAAACTTTGGCCTGTTTCGTTGAGGACTATCTAAGTCAAGTCGGATGCATATTAGCGTGGCTGCTAATTGTCAATTTCCACTGTAACTTTTGCTATTAAGTGTACAGCCTCATCCGTAAAATATATACTGGGAAAGCATTAATAAATCTGGATAATAAAATTCAGATAATTAACAGCTTTAATAAGTCGCATCATTATAGGCATCATTCTACACCCCTCCTTTCACTGAAGCATAATAGGTGCTTACTGAAACCTAAGGAAAGTGGATAGTTACATCAATGTTACCTTGGCCCCCAACTCCAATATGAAGGAACAATACAAACTGGATCAGTAGAAAACATTCCCGTGGTAGTAACCTGATTTCTCTGCATCAGTACTAAATCTACAATTTCCTTTTGCCTGCGGAGACACTGATAAAATCAGTTCCTTTTAACACATATTCCCCACCTTTTCAGAAGGCTCGCTCCCAAGTTTTATTGTTTTATACCAAATTGTATTCTTTAAGCCACCATAAATGTGTATTTAGGGGGTTGGTGGGGAAGGCAATTGGGGAACATTTTGCTTTTGCTAACCTCCTAGTTTGGAAAAAAAGTGCTTTTTAAAATGAAGGGGGGAAACCTGGTTAGGTAATAGATTAAGAGGAATCTCCACATGCCAAACTTCACACAGGGTTTGTGTTATTGTTACCGATCTTTGTCTGATTTCAGATACGCAGTGCTATTTGCCGTGGTCTGTGTGTTAATGACCAAAACCTGTACACTGCTTTTGAAAGTGATGCAAATGAGATGTGAACAGTTCTGATACCTTAATCCAGTCCCTGCAAGGATCCCTGGCTTTAGCCTGTCAGCACCTGTGAACAATGCCACAATTGTCTTCTCCACCCCAGATCAGATGTGTGTGTATCCCCATACAGCAGAGCACGGATATCCAGAGCAGCCTTCACACCATTCACAATTGATTTGCCTGCTAATGTTCTTGATATAGTTGACCTAGCTTGTCACACTTGACTTTTCTAAGTAAATACATATTATCAAAGTGCACAGTTTAATAAATAAGTTCCTGTGGGACAGTGTCTCAAAATACATCCACTGACCCATATTTATTTTAGAATATTTTAAAAATACTTTTCAAATTAAATCTCACCAATAATTACATTTGGGATACCAGTAGCTTAAAAAATATCTCTGGCTCCTTCTTAGGTACCAGTAGCCACTTGTTAACATTTCTTTGGTTAAGTCTATTCCCCTGGGCCTTCAATTGGTTCCTGAACTGGAATTTGTTCACTGTGGAAAGACCTTCCTGAAAATGGCCCTAGTGACCTTAGTCAATTAAGATTGAAGCTATACATCCTTCCTGGGGTGAATTTCAACTCCAAAAAGCCATTTCTCCTAACTCTCTCAATTACTGCTTCTGCAATTTAAAACAATTGGGAACTCAAGTGCTTTCCCCAAGGGAAAAATAAAAGTGCAGTTAGATACATTCCTTGACTGTCAATCATTGTTACTAAAGTGTAAATTACCTGAATTGGGGAAGCATTTGAAACCTGAAAAGCACAGTGATTAGGTATATACTTCTTTCCTTTCCTCATACCCCTACCCTGATCACTAATTAAGGTTTTCCAAAATTCCAAATATTTGGAAAGCTGGGAGGCTTCTTTAAACTCTGCTCATTGACAAAGACCAATAGTGTTTGCCTAAAAATGGTTATTTTACTTTGTATTTCTGAATTCTCTGATGGACAATGGCTTAAAAAAAAAAATACTGTGCTTTGTAGAACAAATAAGCCTAAATCCACTCGTTTGCAATTCCTCTCTTCCTCCCCAAATTCACCAGGTTGCTCTCTGCCTCCTTGCAGAGCCCAGGCTCCCCTCTTGATGATAACATTACTTTTGTCTTACAACAAAGTAACCACCAGTTTTAACTCCTCTCTGTCACTCCTGCCCCTAGCTTTCCACAGCCTCACGTGGTTGTCAGGTGCTTTAAATTCTATCTCTGTAACATCTGCCCAGCCTTTCTGCCACCACCACGCCAGTTCCAGACAATACTGCTTGCCTAAACCATGACAGTAACCTTCCAAATAACTGGCCTTCAGTTTTATAACCATTCTAATCCATCCCTGATAGCACTGCCAAGTTAATTACCCTGAACTAGAGCTCTCATTTCCCACCATGTCCCTCCCCTCCTTACAAGACTTTAATGGCTCCCCACTGCCTACCCAATTAACTGACTAGTCAACGTGGTTTTCAAGGCTCTACCTTACTTTTTGCTGCACTTCTGCACCAGGGATGGCAAATCAACCTCATCCGATGAAGGAACTCTTGAGGTTGGTTGGAAAGGCATGGGCGGTGATAGATTAGTGCGGTTTCCCACAGGGGAGGACTGGGAGCGTGACACCCATGCCAGGAGTTTGCCAAACTGCCTTCCATCCTTACGTAATCCCTGCGGTCCATCTGTAACCCTCCAGCTCTGCCGCATGGTAACTGCTGCTGCCCTTCCCCTTGGAGTCCAGGATATAGGGGACAGGTGTCTATGCCTCTTCCCCCGAAATGCCCTTCCTGTCTTCTCTGATTATTGAAACCCTACTTTTCTTTCGAGTTCCATTCTACAAGATAACTTCTCTGTGGGACCTTACCCAAGTATTTGAACTGTCTTAATACTCTGTACCCCTCAGAAGGCACTTGGTATACTCTGCCTTGTGCGATGCTTGGTTTAGTATCTGCCTTACCCTCCCTGGTAGAAGATGCATTCCTTGAAAACAGGGGCTCTGGTCTTGCACACAGTAGGCACTTATTAGAGTTAACGGGTTTGGGGAATGGAACTGGTGAACTAATCATAAGGTAGCATGTCCACGCAGTGATTCCAGTACACAGCAAGAATGAAAACTTAAGCATTTCAGCTTTCAATCACTTGAAATAAACCTTTCCTTCCTGGATGAAAGATTAGTTGACATGTATGGGCTGTTAAAATTTATATATGCAAAAAAGTTGACAGTTATTGTCTTTGCATTTCTTGGAGAGGGAGAGAAGGAAAATTATGGAAATATATAGAATTTCCTCTGGAGAAGGGAGCTTTCTACAACAAGCCTGAGAACAAAGGAGACAGAAAAGTAAAAGCTCATACCCAACCAACAAGTTTCCTTTCTTTCAAAAATGCATCAAGAAGCTGAAGCAGGACCATATGCTGAAACTAGAACCTCGGATGAAAATGCAGCCCCACTCTTGGACCTGTGAGGGGCTCCATCCTGCTGCAGAGTGTGTTGTCAGGGTGGCCGCAGCGAGGAGAGCCCGGGCTAGGAGAGCCCTCTGCTCAGATCAGAGAAGGGATGGTGGAAACCTGAGGTCTCCATGGGAGGGAACGGGAGAGCCAGGACTTCTAGACACCGGGAAATAAAGGGCAAGATCAAAGCGTGAAGCGCCCACCCTGGATGATATACTTCACCCCTCTTCCCATTTTGTGGATGAGGAAATGAAAGTGCTGAGAAGGGACTTGCTCAAAACCTCTCAATTAATCCATGGTGCTATGTGGTAGCTTCAGATTAACTGAATTCAAGTCCCACCTTGGCCACGACAAGCAGTGTGGCTGAGGGCAAGTCACTAACCATTTCTGGGTCTATATTTCCTCATCTCTAGATGAGGGCTGTTATGAGGATTAGATGAGATGACCTTTCTAAAATGCTTGCCACTCAAAATATTGCTCTTGTTGTTATGCACCTTACAGGAGTTAATAAAATGCTGTATAAAAGTGCACTGTCCAATATAGTAACCACTAACTCCATGTGGCTATTGAGTACTTGAAATATGACTTAGATCCACATTCATTTTCAAAGACAGTACAAAAATGTAAAGTGTCTCAATAATTTTACGATGATTGCATATTGAAAGACAATAGTGTGGATATATTGGGTTAAAATAAAATATATGATTAAAATTAATTTTATCTCTTTTAATGTTTTAAAATCTGTCTACTAGATAATATAAAATTACTATTTGTTTTACATTCTACATGTATATAGTATACAGTGCTAGTGTGGAACATGACTGGCATGTAGTAGGTATTATAATGTTTAATTAGAATAACCACTAGGACTCAGCTGGGAGCACCACCGGGACAAGAGTGAACATCTGTCTTGTCATTTTACAAAATCTTCATTGTGCTCCTGCTATTTGCACGGCATTGAGCTGGGTGCTAAGGAAAATATAGACAATATTATTGTGTATTATTGAGAAGGTAAG